ATCATGAGCTTAAATCCATAAAGCTTAACTATTTAACTTCATACTAGTCACAAAACCTTAGTTCTATATTCGATATCCCATTTTAACCCTTTCTTTTAGATTACAACATCTTAGAACTTTATGATTTGATTTCTTAACTGATGAAATTCAACAAACATGGTGTAGAATTGAAGCTTGGGATTGCACAAAACTTACCCTGCAAGTTACTAATTGAAGCAAACTCCCGAGCTCCAGATATTACTTTCCCTAACAGAGCTAAACTTCTTCACCCTTCCAGATGAGCTTTCCACACTTCCTCTTTTAATTTTATAAGCTGATCACATCAGCTTTAAGCAATCCTTGGATAGTACACCACGGCACACAGAGCTTCTGCTGCAGCGGGTGGCATAGTGAGAAAATTCTAACTTGTGCTCGTGCGTTATGCCTCAGATTGTATTTCTACCCTTTAATCCTATCAATACAGTATCTAATCAACACAAATGATCAACTCAACATCCAAATGATAATCAATCCAAAAATTACTAATTTACCCCTAATTAGTAACTAGTTTTTAGATTGAAATTCAAGATGTTATAATTCTCCCTTCCTTTAAAAGGAATTTTGTCCCTAAAATTCAAATACAAGCCTAAGCTCACCTCATAGAAACAAATGACGGTACTACTTCCTCATACTCTCCTCCGTCTCTTATGTCACATTACCAAGAGCCATTTTTCACTAAAACACCTTAACCAATTAGATAGTCTTATCATACAATTATTTCTCTTTGACATCTACTATACGTTCTGATTTAATTCGGTAAGTGAGATTCTCCTCAAGCTCAATCACATGTGATGGATTCAGTTGATACTTCTTCAATTGTGACACGTTGTGTAACATCCGGGAAAATTTAACTCTGGTTTATTAACCTAATAAGGGTAATTAGTGAGCTAATAAGGTGTATGGCCAAAGGGGCTTAACTTAGCATAACCATTATGATTTTGCCCTAAAAGTGAGTCCGAATTGATGGCGGGCCACTCGGGCAAGGAAAGAGGAAGAAAAAGTAAAGAATTGTTTTTTATGCCACACGCTGTGGTATGTGGTTGGTTCGCTGCAGCACACAGACATAAATTTAAATGCAAAGGCTCCTCTGTGGCATGTACTACAATGTAGGGTAGCATGCATCATAGCGCACAGGAAAAATTTTAGATAAATTAGATCACGTCTGTGTGAGAAAATAGAAGAAGGAAGAGGAAGAAAATGAAAAGAACATTGGAGCTCTATTAGGGCACACTCACTGGCTTCTATTGTTGGCATTTTAAAGCTCCCAAACACCTAAGGTAAGTTTATGGTGCCTTCTTCTTCCTTTCTCTCCCTTATTTATGATCATTTATGCTAGGGTTTGAGTTGGGAAATGGATTTTTAGTCTATAAGAGCATGGGTCCAATTTCATTGGTTAAAATAAGTATAACGGGAGTTGTTTAATATATAGGAACACTACATTGATGATTTTAGAAGTAGTTGGTCTATGGAAGCATTTATTATTCGAAAATTATCATAAATATGGTAGTTGGGAGAGGTTAATGTGCATTAATGATGGTTTGAGATATTATTAGTGATAATGTGCATTAATGGAATTTAATGAGCCCATTGGGTATGAATGGGAAGTGATTATAAGTTGATAAAAATAGAGTGTGTGGAGTTATATGTTGATAAAGCTTCAAGAGTTAGAAAATGATGAAATTCATATGGTATAGATGTAGAGAGGTTTGTTTTTGGCACCATTCAAGCTTGTCAAAGCTTTAGGAAGTTGGTATAGTGAATGGTAAATATTTGACCTCTCAAAGGTTTGAGGTAACCAGGGAAAACTTAATTTTTACAGTTGAATTTTAATTATGTTTGTGCAATGTAAATTATAATATAATTTAATGATGCATATTGGCAAAGTGTTTGATTTGTGAAATGGTTTTTGCAAAGAAAATATTGATTTTACCACCCTTGATATTTTATGAAATTGATTATGATTTATTACTATGGGTGGAGAATTGTGATATATTATATGTTGAATTATGGAATATTGAGTTATAGGAGTTCATGTCTTATGAATTGATTGTTAAAATATATATTATGTGAGAAATGTGTATAGCATGATCATTGGTGAGAGTTTGCCAAGGGATAGGAGTAGATTAGTCAAAATCCACATGGTGTAGGTAGCGACCATTGGAATCGAGAACTAGCCTTGGCACCAACCATTAGAATTAGGAGGTAGCCCTTATCCCATGGTTAATTCGGGACTGTCTTACTTGTTCTATGAGGGATTCGAACCTAACCAGTCTCCACCAGTTCATGAGGAGGCTAGATTAGGGATATGACACCCTATAGTTGTTAGTATTGGGGGAAACCAGATTACATAAGTGAGTAAGTTAACCTTGGCCTGGTAGCTCCTCATAAGTGGAAGGCTGGGTTAGTCCGTGAAAGACGTAGCCATATGATAGCCACTAATTTTGTGTCGCAGGTAACAAGAGGATATAAGGTTGGCATATGATCATACATATAAGTCTGGCCACATAATTATTAGTTTTATGGTTTGGTATATGTTAAGGGCGTATGGTTGTTATTTTTACAACCATGTGTTATGTTTGTTTTAAATAACATAATAGGGTGTTTTGTGGCAAGCCCGGTCACATGGTTGTTAGTTTTCTGAAGCATGACTGAGTATTATGTGTGATTTGTGCTTATTTACCTAATTGTATTTATTTATAATTAATACGCAACTATATAGGTTAAGTGAAACTTGGTTATTGAGTAGTTATACTCACCCCTCAATTTTCAACATTTTTAGGACCTAGCTCATTAGATCTGAGTCAGGGAAAATATATAGAGGCCTAGGACTGTGAAGTAATCCTCCATATACCTTTCTTTTATTACTCTTATGTGTATTTCTTAATGTAATTGCCAACTAGGATTATTTGACATGATTTATGCACTATTTACATAATTTAGTGTATAACTAGTGTATTTTGTGCCTGGGTTAGTGATTTTTAGTTGTGAACCAGTGAAAAGGGCTAAAATACTTGTGCAAGTAGAAATATATGTATTTTGAGAAGTTTGGAATGAAATTGTAGATTTTGTCCAATACTTCCTTCCCCTTTATGTTTTGTGAAAATTGAGGTTGAGTGGTGATTTTATGAGATAAGTGTTTTTGATTGTGTGTGGTACATTGCATGAGTTTGCAAGAGTCTATTGAGTATGGTTAGATGGTTGGTATAAGCTATTGGCATGTGTGGTTGAGTTAGGACACCCCTTTATGAGATTTTGTGAAAAAGTGGTCAAAATGAGTTTTGGTATCTAACTTTTTATATAAAATGAGTTTAAGTATGAAACTAATGCCATTAGCTAGAGCTAGGAGAAAGCTCCTTGTAGACACTGAAATCACCTCAATCGGATGTTGAACGACGAGTTGGGACACGTCGAAAGTTTACACCCTGTGCTATCAAATAACAGTACTATTGCTATCAAATTTCATGCAATTTGCCACGACGGATGGTGCCTCACATCTCGGCATATGGCATAGAGAAGACATGCCATGGTGCACATGCCGTAAGCGACAGCACATGTGACACTTTCTGCATAAAATTTATTTTTGAGTTTTAAAACTCATTATTTTGGGTCCCAATTGATTTCCAAGCTTTCGCTTTACTTTCAAAACTCTGATTTGGACTTATTAAATCATATTTGAGATTTGAATTGTTGATATTGGGATTCCTTTGAAATATTTTTAAGTAATTCATTTTATAAAACTTTATAATTTGGTAATCATTTGAGGTTAAACCCTACATTACAATGATTTAGAGTTAACTACGATTTAACCTTAAGGAAGTTACAAGTTGGTATCAATTTCTCTGGTTCTGAGAACTGGACCATAGATTTATGAATCAGGTATGAGTTTGCTTGTGAATGGTGCATTTACATATAGAAAGTTGGCAATTAACATTATGCACGTGTTCTTTTCCCCTTTGAGCTAATGTTAACTATCTTCCTTTTGTGGGATAACTTCCATCCTTAGGAGGGGAGAATGGTGAAAACAAGAAATATAGCCGATAACATTTTGACAAATGTATCAAGACAAGTGTGGGAAGTCTTGGTACAAGAGGAGAACATTGTCTCTGGTGAGCATGTTGAGATAGGACAAGGCTCAAGTGAAATTAGAGAACAATTGAGACTGATAACAGGCAATGAGAATATATTGCTAGAGCTAAGAAGCATGATGGAAAGAATTGAATAGAGAATAGATAAGCATGATGAGATTTTGAAGAAAAGATTGAAAGAGTCAAGTAGGATCGTAGAAAGAGTTGGCAGTTATAGTGAAGTAAGAATAGAGAGGGGAGTAATTGATCAACAAGAGGAGGATTATTATAAAGAGAGTAGACTGAGGAGGTCTGAACTAGTGAAACCTAGAGAAAGAGAGCAAGAGAGCTCTATTGATTTAGCCTCGAAGAAGTTTATAAGGTTGAATCCTCTATCGTTTGAGGGTTCTATAAAGAATAGAGCGGCTAAGAAGTGGATAGATCGATTGTAGATGATCTTTTCCATTATGACCTACACGTTTGAGTAACGGGTATTACTTGCTACTTTCCTTCTTGAGGATGCAGCTAAGCAATGGTAGGAGAGTGTGAATAGGTTTCAATTGACATGGAGTGTGTTCAAGAGGATGTTCTTTTCTTACTATTTTCCTACCTCCTTCAGAGCTGAGAAAGAGGCTGAGTTCCACCAGCTACAGCAAAGAAATATGAATGAAGAAGAATTTATGGCTAAATATGAATGAAGAAGAATTTATGGCTAAGTTCAACAAGTTCTCTAAATACTTAACTTGAGGAACCATAATGATAAGTACTAGAAGGCCGAGCAATTACTTGAGAAGATGCGGCCTAATTACTTCAACATTGTCTCATATAGTGATATGTGCAGTAAGTTGAGAGTAGTGGCCAGACGTGGTCGTGAGGCAGAGGATAGCCAGAGGAGAGATGGTAGGGGCCATTTCTTCTACTGGAGGTGTTGGCAAGAGAGCTGGATATAGTTCTAGACTATCTGGATTAGGAAATAATGGTAGTAAGAAGAAAAGCTTCCAGAGGGGTTCACATTCTAGAGGTTCCCAGATGAGGAGTAACGCCCTTAGGAGTATGGGTGGGCAGAGTCAAGCTTCGAGACAAGATTATACTCCTATGGTAGCTAGATCGATTAGAGCCCCACAGTGTAGCGGGTGTGGGAGATACCATACTGGAGAGTGCTGGATATGTTTCAAGTTCTATAAGGTTAGGCACATTGCTCAGTATTGCCCAAAGAATACTCCTCACACCGATCAAAGGTCTATTATTCCTGGTCGTGCATTTGCTATGACAAGGGAAGAGGCTAAAGCTTCCTCCAAGCTTATCCAAGGTATGATTTCTTTAAGCAATCAACGGATTTCTGTTTTATTTGATTCTGGTGCCACTCACTCATTTGTTTCTGATGAGTGTCCAAAAGACTAAGTTTGCATGTTATTGAAATACCTTTTATGATGAATGTGTCTACACCGGCTGGTGCTTCAATGAGAACCAATCAAGCTTGCTTGAAAGTAGAGTTGTAATTTAGTGAAATAGCCACAAGTATTGACTTGATTTGTTTACCCATATCGGGAATTGACATGATAATTGGCATGGATTGGTTGTCTGCTAATAGAGTGACATTAGACTGTAATAAAAAGACAGTTTCATTGCTAGTGTACAAGGCAATTATATTGAATAATAAAACTACACCACCTGTACTTGTTATTACTCCGGAGACTCTTAAATTCCTATCAGCAGTATAAGTGGAGAAATTAGTGAAAGAGGGATGTCAAGCCTTTATGGTGTTCTACTTAGTATACAGAGTATATGATGGAGCATTATACAAGATTGGAGTTGTTAATGAGTTTCCTGAGGTGTTTGCAGACAAAGTGTCAGGATTGCCACCATAAGAGAGATTGAGTTCTCAATCAATTTGGTGCCTAGTACCGAACTAATCTTTAAGGCTTCATATTAAATGGCTCCAATAGAATTAAATGAGCTTAAGAAGTAGCTAGAGGAGTTATTGGAGAAGGGGTTGATTAGGCCTAGTATTTCACCCTAAGGTTTGCCTGTTTTGTTTGTCAAGAAGAAAGATAGTAGCATGAGATTATGTATAGACTATCGACAGCTAAATAAGGTGAAAATTAAGAATAAGTATCCGTTACTCTGAATTGATGACCTATTAGATTAGTTGACTAGAGCAACGGTATTCTTTAAGATTGACTTGAGATCCAGCTATCACTACTTGAGAGTAAAAATGGATGATGTGCTAAAGATTGCTTTTAGAATGAGATATCGGCACTATGAGTTTCTTATTATGCCCTTCGGACTAACAAATGCACTTGCAATCTTTATGGATTACATGAACTGAATCTTTAGGCCCTATCTAGACAAGTTTGTAGTAGTCTTCATTAAGGATATCTTAATATATTTAGTTAATGAGGAAGAGTATGCTAAGCACCTGCGGATTGTGTTGCAAATTTTGAAAGAGAAAAGGCTATATGTGAAGTTGAGCAAATATGAATTCTGGTTGTGTGAGGTAAAGTTTTTAGGTCATATAGTGTTAGCAAATGGTATTACAGTTGATCCTCATAAGGTGAATGTGATACTACAATGGGAAAAACTGACTTTTATGATAGAGATCTAAAGTTTCTTGGGTCCAGCAGGATATTATAGAAGGTTTATTTAGGCATTTTCCCAAATTGCATCTGCTTTGACCAAATTGACTAAGAAATATCAGCCTTTCATATGAACCGACAAGTGTGAAGAGGCTTTCCAAAAGCTGAAGAAGAGATTGATGACTGTACTTGTGTTGACTATTTTAAATCTAAAAGGGCCATTTGTGGTGTATACAAACGCTTCACTTAAAGGTTTTGGATGTATCCTAATGCAAGATAATAGAGTAGTGGCATATGCTTTGACACAATTAAGACCACACAAAGAGAACTATCCTATCCATGATCTTGAGCTTGCGATAGTAGTGTTTGTACTTAAAATATGGAGACATTACCTTTATGGTCCGTAGTTTGAGTTGTATAGTGACCATAAAAGCCTCAAGTATCTAGTTGATTAGAAAGAGTTGAATATGAGGCAGCAGAGATGGATGGAGTTCTTGAAGGACTACAATTTTGAGTTGAAGTACCATTCAAGCAAGGCTAATATAGTAGCTGATCCGTTGAGTTAGAAGACATTATATGTAGTATTCTTGATAATGCAAGAGCACAAGATGCTAGAGGATTTCTCTAATGAGCACAAAAATGTTCTTAATTTCATGTCATATAACTTGAATGTCATGGTAATTACAAATGAGTTCTGGAAAGAGCCAAGAAAAGCACAATTAGAAGATGAGTACTTGTTAGAAATCAAAGAGGACATTGAAGAGAACTAAACAATGGCCTTTGGCTTTAATGATGATGGTTTTGTGTTGTATCACGACCATATATGTGTTCCTGATAATGAGGAGATTAGAGAGACTATCCTATCAAAAGCTCACAGGAGTAAGCTAACAATCCACCCTGGTACTACTATGATGTTCAAAGATATGAAGAAGCAGTGGTGGTAGCACAGAATGAAATGAGATGTGATTAAGTTTGGTTTCAGGTGTTTGACATATCAGAAAGTCAAGATAGAACACCAAAAACCACTTGGGTTGTTACAACCTTTAGAAATTCCAATATGGAAATAAGACAGTGTGTCTATAGACTTCATAATGGGATTGCCACATACTCAAGCTAGTCATGATGCTATATGAGTGATTATAGACAGACTGACTAGTTAGCTTATTACCTAGCCATTAGAGCTAACTATACCTTAGAGAGATTTATTAAGGTTTATGTTCAAGAGATAGTACAATTGCATGGGGTAACGAAAGAGATTGCATGGGGTATTGGAACATGGATGCATATGCCACGGCACACAACACAGACAGAGAGAGCATGTGGCTCTGTGCCACATGCTGTAGCACACGGACCAAAATTCAATTTTATTTTATATGCTAAATTGGATGGAATACTGGTGGGTTATGTCCACTATGTATTTGGCAAGTGTATGATTTATTTCCGTTGTGTTTTCTCTGATTGAATTGTGATTCAATTGATTTTATAAAGTAAGTCTTCGGCCAAAGCTTTTGAAATTAATTTGATTATTGTAAATGATGTGAGTTAATGGTAACACTATAGTCTTCTCTTATATTAAGTAGATACATGATAGGAGGTTACACATATACTTATATGTACTTTTCCACATCGTAAGTGGTCTTAACTGGCAAGAAGTGTGCTAATTTTGTCAATCAATCCACAATAACCCACACAGAGTCATATCTTGCCTAAGTCCTTGGTAGACCAGACATAAAGTCCATTGAAATGCTGTCCCATTTCCAATAGGGAATCTCTAGAGGTTGCAGTATCCCAACCAGTCTCTGATACTCAATCTTCACTTTATGACACGTGAGACATTGGCTCACAAACTCAGTAACATCTTATTTCATATCTTGCCACCACCAATACTTCTTCATGTCAGGGTACATTTTGGTTACACCAAGATGCATCGTATATTTGCTCAGTGAGCTACTTCTAACAGTCTCCTTCTAATGCTTTCATCCACAGGTATACAGATTCAATATTTATACAGGATGAATCTTCATTACTAAACCAAAAAAAGGTAGTACAACCTTCTTCTACATCTTCTCGTATCCCTTATAAGAGTCTGCCTCTTAAATGAGCTTCCAGTATCTCTTTCCAAAACCCATTGGAAATGGTCATTGAATGAATTGCATTTAGAGTATAATCTGATGCCTCAAGCTACAATTCTAGCAAAGACAACAATAACTGTGTTCTTGAACCATCAATCTAACCACACATAATAATTTTTAACTCAAAGCATCAGCCATAATATTGGCTTTCCCTAGATGGTACTTAAACTTAAAGTTATAATCTTCTTAGAATTCCATCCATTGTCTTTGTCTCATATTAAGTTCTTTTTGATCCATAAGATATTTTAAACTCTTATGATCACTGCAAATATTAAACTCTACACCATAAAGTTAACATCGTCAAATCTTGAGAGCAAGCATTATAGCTTCCAACTCCAAGTCATGCGTTAGATAACACTTCTTGTGTGGTCATAACTATCTAGATATGTAAGCCACAACTCAGTCTTCTTGCATCAACACACACCCTAGACCTTTTAAAGAAGCATCTGTATAAACCTCACAAGGCAACCATGGATCAGGAATAATTAACACCGGTGTTGAGGTTAACTTTTCCTTAAGCTTTGCAAAAGCAAATTCACATCGATCATCCCAAATGAAAGGTTGATCCTTCCTCATTAATCAAGTCAAAGGAGTAGCAATCTATAAAAATCCCTAAATGAATCTTTAGAAATATCTAACCAAACCACGAAAACTTCACACTTCAGTTACTGAACTTGGCCATTTCCATTGCAATGCTGCATCCACTTTATGAGGATTCATTAAAATCCCCTCAATTGACACCATGTGTTTGAGAAATCTTACCTCCTGTAGCCAGAATTCACATTTGCTCAACTTGGCATATACCTTTCAAAATTCTTGGCACGGTTTTGAAATACCTCATGTGCTCTTCCTCATTCTTAAAGTATATCAGTATGTCATCTAGGAACACGACAACAAACTAATATAAGAAGGGACAGAATATATGATTCATGTAGTCCATGAAATCTACAGGCATATTCATCAACCCGAATAACATCACCAAAAACTCAAAGTGACCATATCGAGTACCAAATGCCATCTTAGATACATCCTTAGCATTTACTCTCAACTGATAGTACCTAGATTGTAAATCAATCTTAGAAAACACTAAAGCTCCCACTAGCTAATCCAGCAAGTCATCTATTCTTGGGAGTGGGTATTTGTTCTTTACTATCACCTTGTTTAGTTGCCTATTGATTGGATTTAGTCGCTTATCCTTAAAATTAAATTAAAACTAACCCTAATGCAATATAAGGCCAACCCTAGGTCATCTCCCAAGGAATGGTCTTAGTCTAATTAAAAGTTATCTAGTGGAATAAATTACCCAAAGTTGTAGGAATTTAGTTACCTAATTATATAAACTAATTACAAAATATAAAAGTAATTAAAATGCTAATTAGAATGAGTGAAATGAACTTTCCTTTTCACAAGAGTGGAACCCTAGAGATTATTTGATTTTGGACTCATTATCTTCTCATGATTAGGCTAAGTTTAGCTTTCCTTTCCTCTTGACTAAAGCTGTCACGACTTAAGAAAATTATCCTAAGCCAATTAACCTAATTAGCTAACTCCCCTAAGTCTTAGATTAAGGTCCCTAGTTCAATTAACCAATTGGTGTAAAAATTAGCCAAGTGAATCACTTAAAACTCTCCCTCAAATGCCATGACCAAGACAAGGAATCAAGTAACCACAACATTATGTCACGCTACTCAAC